TATGTCTATTTTTGTATGCATTTGTCATGGGTTTCACATTTGGTGACTGGTTAGCAGTGTGCTGGCCATCTTTGGTTTGTAGAGGAAATCTTAACCATGAACAATCAAGGGGGCTTAAAAGAACTTTTTAAATGCTAGCTTTTTACTCAAACTTGTATCTATACTACATCACGCCACATTAAGTAGAAGCACACATCACAAAATTGCACAGGGATTACAATATTACATCCAGTCTGCATAAAATTGAATTCCACTACTGACCAGGTCACAAAATGGCTGCACTTTCTAGTCTAAAACTAATTTGCATATTGTACACATGTAGGACATTTTTTTACTTCAGTCACAATAATGCATGCAAGTTTGTTTTTTGTAAGAAATTTTGTAAATTTGCTCATGCTACCTAGTTTCAAGAGAGCCTGTTTTTGAACATTTGCAATAACTCACCTCTTGTTAATTAATAGTTCTAGTGCATGCATATGGTGTATACAGGTAAGTAAACATGCAATTTTTTCACATTCTAAAACTATGGCAGTTTAGGCCATATTGTGCTGCCTGCATTTAATCTGTAATGCAGTGTGTCTTAAACGTTTCAATCCCGTATTAATAGGTGGCATTACACATAACACCTATATAGCAGCAAAGCTAATACAGCTTGTGATTAAAAATGTTTAAAAATAGCTAATAAATCAGATTATCTTGAGGTATTATTTCTTGCAAGTCAAAATGGAGAGCAAAAAATCAACCCTAATTTTTAGTTTATGTATACACTGAAAATAGCAACAACAATAAAAATAAGCTTTTGTAGCAGACATATTCCATCTTCACTATTTTGCTACCTTTGGTAAATTACTGGGGCAGATCTTGAAGTTAAAAACCCATGTTTAGAAATAAGTGCACGCTTCACCCACTAAATATAGCAGCAGACTGTGTGCCCCTACGCAAAAACATTCTCATATCTAGTTTTAACTTTACATATAAAAATAACTTGGAGAAAATACAAAAAAACATTTTATTTTAACATGAAAATATCACAAAAATTAGTAAGCCTGAGATGTAGGGTTTTGGTGAAAAACAAGAGGCTTGTAGTGTTTTGGCTGCTGATAAAGATGCATGTATTGATAGCTGGGGTGAAAAGCAGAAGAATGCACTTATTTCTTCTGCATGTCAGTATCTTCAAACACAGTAAGCCACATGCACCCTTCTCTCCTTATGTAGATGCTGGTTCACCATGTTTAATTCCAGCGGAAGTGGATCTGACGTGGGCGGTCAGCCCCCTCCTTTACCAATGGCTTATGGAATTCACGTCCTGCACGAGAGTGGATATTTGCCCAACAAAACTCACAGTAATACTGCAGGCAAGTGACATTGGCACAAAAGAAAGGAGCAAACTTCCCACCGCACCGCGCACCCTGGCACTCGTCACACATCTGGTCATCCAACACGTATGGCTTTACCTCCACCTGTTGGAGTGAAACAGAAACAATTCCCGTTAACAACTGTTTCTACCTGAAGTTCTATGAAGGCATTAGTTTTTCTCTGGTTTAAAAAAGAACCCCAAAAATACCCCTGAAGTCTGCAATCAATCATGTTAATGCCTTTATATAACTGATCAGTTATAACTTGTTATCATTTATCTCCTACAGACCCATCCATACATCTTTAGAAGTACACTGTGCATGTAATAAACAGCTACATCAGAAATTTCCCCTAATTTACCCTGGGAGAGTGTTTGCAAATGATATTATGGACATATTTGTAGAAGAAAATCAAACCACTCAAAGGTTTCCCAACTGGACATTAACATAACAATTAATTCTAAATGGTTTAGCAAAAAAAATAACATATGAGACTACACTTTAATAAAGATTTTTTTTTTTTCAAGTACAAGTGTCTCTGCATGTATTACATTTGTGTGCAAATTAAAATACTTTCTGGAAGCTGTAATGCAGATCTTTTAGCAGAGCTGTTCACCCTGAATTCACTCCCTATTTTTAAAATATGGCAAAATTTGGTCCTACCAGTTTTGGTAATCTATTACTCTCTGTGGCTTTGAGCTGTACAGGAGTTTGTATTCAATACAATTCTGAAAATATTTTTTAAAGATCATTTTGCAAGTCTACAGACATCTACAAACACCTGTTTTACACAGCTTCTCTCTCCCAAACTCATCTGACTGCCAGAATGGAAAAGTGGCAGGAATCCAGTTGTAAATATGCATTATGTCTCTGCAAAACTGTACTGCTACAGACTGCAATCAGATAGGAAGAAGTATTTCATAATAAAACACAAAATTAGTTAACGTGGTCATTAAGGAATGTATTGTTGTATTCCATATTTTCCTCAGGGCTGCATGAGATTTTTTTCCTTAGATACTAGTAACTCAGAAGATTGCTACATATAGACATTGACTGTATGCTCTGTACTCAGACAGAATATGCCTTAAATATTAAGAACTTTAAAATAATACTTTTTTCATTGTATCTCTAGAAGAAAAAATGTACACATCCAGCTCCCTGCCTTGGAGTTTTACAGCCGAGTAGTCTTCATGTTCTTAGCTTCAGAAGTAGAGGCCATCCTAGAAATGTCAGAGTACGCTTCTTCCAGTAATCTATATTCAGTGAGAGCTCTACTTCTTATTTCACTACAATGACCTTCCTTATCACCAATTATACTCCAACTTTCCAATAAACAGGTACCTCATGCAATAACTGTGTTCATGGCTCAGAATTACTGAAAGCATGAAGCAGCATTTATTTCAAGCCTCAGCGCACTAATGCACCAAGATCGGTACGAAGATGATTTCAAAAATATTAGAGAGACACTTTGGGGAATGGAAAAATTACATGATGTGGATGCAGACTGCCGGCATATGAAAGTTAACAGTATTTTAATGAATTGTTTGGAGTTGAAACTCCAAAGAAATGTTTGAAGCTGAGCTTTCATACATGATAAAACAGGATGAGGAGCACTTTGCTGAAGAAAAACATCTGTTAGAGAAACTAAATATATCTACACATCTAAAGAAGTGAAGAGAAGCTACAGATAACTTAGTTAAGGAAGAAGTTAAGATCACAGACAATGTTTGTCAAGTGACTGGCACTTAAGATTTCCAATTAAGGTAAGAAAAGGTAGGTGAAAAAAATGCTATGAATACTTTGAACTGATGTTGAGAAGGATAAACAGGTGAACTGCAAAATTTAGCAATTTAAAAATACTTCTATGCAGACAAAACTGGTCATGAAAAGAATGTGAAAGAACCTAAAGAATGTGAAAGACCTCCACAAACTGGATATTAGTGGTATGGAAAGGCAGCACTGAGGTAAAGGGCAGAACAGGCTCAGCCTCGAGGAGTTCAGTGAGATACAGACTGTATTACCCTCCTGGCCAACATACACAAACACCTCAGGTGAAGGCAGTACCCAAAGGAGGACTATTTTCCTCATTTACAAAACTAGTGGTTTGCAGATTTACACTCACTGCTTGCTCATGTATAAATCAGCAGTCATACTGATTTCAGAATATTTTCAGAGCCTGAAAAAGCATTAGTGTAAAAATTAAATGGAGGTAAAAAACTATTTCTGAAAATAGCCTTTTTCATACTTTCAGCTAAGATTCAAAGTGTTCCCTAAAATGATGCTCTTCTCTATGACTCTTCAGTAATGCAAATAACTGAGTGAAAATAATTATATGTAATTATATAAATAAGGATTGACCTTATGGTTTAATTAAAGATGTAGATTCTAAACATATAGATTATTCCCCCTCTCAGATGAACAAAGAAATTTGTAAACCCTCCCCATCATGGGACTGAATTTAACTATTTAAACAGTTAAGATTTGGCACTGCTGTATTTTGCCAGTGAAACACCTCAGGAGTAGCACACATTTTTCAAAATAAGAAAAAATGAGGATAGTAATAAAAATGTGGAAATTCCAAATTTAAAAGAACAGTTGAGTCAAGAAAATAATTTTTCAAGTGTTAGAAAAGCAACACAAAAAAAGAACAAAAATTGTATCCAAAAAGGAACTTTAAGAATTCAGATATTTAAAGTGAATACCTAGATCATCCTGCCTTTCCCTCTCAACCTCTCCAACCCATGAACAGCTACCTCCAGATACAAATTATGCTTGGCAGGGGTTGTTTGGATTGTTTTGGTACTTGCTTGCACTTTTTTTTTTTTGTTTGTTTTTTTATTTTAAAAATTAAGTTTCAATGGATGTAAGTCAAATACTGTGCTTCTCAGATCCAGCATTTGGAGTAGATTTTGTGTTGGTTTTTCTTTTCCCCCAAGCTCCAAGAGGCCTGCAGTCCAGTCCATCCCACCTTAAGAACTACAGTGTTCCATCACCCATTAACAACCTACATCCTTTTCTCTGCAAACAGTAAGCACTGCCATTTCAGATGGCATCCAAAGAGCCCTTAAGATCTCTGGTGAACTATCATAAAAAACCACAAAATATCAGAACAACGTATGTGCAATTGCAGCCTTCAAAGTCAGGATCATGCCTTCTCCTACAAGATGGCACTGCCAGTCTACCATACTCTCTACTGCAAAGGACACACTCCCTTGGGAAGAGGAAGACCAAGATAAAAGTTCCCCATGGTTTACAAGGTACAAGTCCATGTCTCTCACTGTTAAAGGAGATATAATTTGGATTGGACCCAACTGTCCATGTCTCAATTTTCAAGTCAGGTGACTTCACAGACAAATGCCTTTCAGACAGAAAGAAACTTCTAAATTCTAAAGCTATATGGCCCATTTAGCATTTCTTTAGAGGAAATTCTGGATTCTGGTCCTTACTCCCATTTTGTCCAAGTACTCAAATGAAAGATGATCACCAGTTTTATTTCGCCTCACCCAATCCCAGTGTCAAGGCCATTTTTTCTGCTACGTAAATATCCAAAAAACAGCTGTAAGTCAACAATGGCTGGAAGTCATAAGGATAGCAATCCCATGACCTAAACATAACCATCACATCTTATTTTGAAGCCTAGATGACTACCCACCTCCATACCCACTCATCCTCTAGGAAGGGATATATTTGGGGATTTCAGCTCATAAGGCAAATGGTGTTTGAGACACATACATAAAGCTGAACTACTCTGCCTATTTGAAATGAGAAAAGCACGTACTGACTGCTTCTCTAGAGCAGACTTCTGTTAACTGTACTACTTTCTTTTTCCTGTGTCTTTGATCTGCAGAGGAGACTGGACCTTGAACTACTTTACTCACTCGACCTTTCTTCCCATAAGACCTTTTTTTTTTTTTAAGAACACCTATTAATGCCAGACTATCTCTGCAGCTCCTTACATCAAAACTAATGACCCTTAAAACCAACATAATTTAGATGCCAGTTTTCTTTGCTACTCTTATACTTCTAATTAGGAGTTATGAAGTTCACTAGTCTTCTTAATATAAGTTAGTTTTACTTTTCCTAGGAATAAGCATCTCTAGCAAGAAGAAATATGCACTGGTTAGTCCTAAGAAGATTTTCAAACAGAAAAAAACAAGACCTTTTGTATTTTAGGTGTTGGGCCTGACCAACTTTCTGAGCACTGACAACTATGGCTGAAATTAAGAGCAGTTTTAAGTATCAAGCTAATCGGAAGCCAATGAATACTAGAATTTCTTATGAATGACAGATCACAGTATTTGCTTTCATTAGAACATGGGAGAGAAAGAGATTTTCAAGCCCTTTGCCTGTACACAACAAAACCAGGAACTCCAGAATGGGAAGAACATATGGTCCAACATATGTCAAAGGAACAAACTGCTGCTCTGTGGAAACATGTTGTTCATTCAGGGGCATTCAGGCATACTCCTGAAAGTAGTGGAGTTACATGAATGCGAAAAAATATGTAGAAGCTGGCTTGAAAGCAAATCACATGCAATGCTACCACACACTGAGAAATTTCTTTATAGAGCAAAACTTTTTTTTTTAATTTCTGTGTAACTTACTCGTTTATCAATATCGCCATGCTGAAGTTGAACAAACCGAGCACTGATGGCAGCAATGTAACTCTGCTGATTGGAAAAAGCAACACGTCCAGCACCTTTTGGGTATTTCAGCTCAGGGTCAGTGTCAATTCCTGCGTAACAAACTCCCCCATAGAGACGGTCCATGATCATAGCCAATTCCACTATTAAGAAACAAAACAGCATTTATTCAAACTATTCTTACAGCAGAAACTTAGTACACTTATGTCTAAAAATACTAGGAAAGTAAATTTTAATTATTAGTTTTGCAAGAGCAAATAGAACAGTAATAACAAAATTAAAAAATATTAAAGAAGTAATATTAAGTAAGGTATTAATTACTCAATAGACAGATCTTTCACACTGTGGGTACATACATCCAAGGAACAATGGAATTGTATGTTCTTGATAACCTGGAACTGGAATTCCAGGGCAGTTTTCTTCAGAGGATTACAGCAAAAGAGTTTTTGGGCAGGCATTGGAATGTAAGCTGTATAAAATAGATCCTCATGCCACAAATTCCTACGTGTTCTCTGGCTGTCCTAATGCTCTATGTCCTACTTGAATTTAAAGACGTAGTTAGCATCTTTTCATAAGCCACACAGAACTGCATTATCTCTACAGTGCTATACTTACCATAGATACTGAAGTTCAGAGAAACAAAAATTTCGAATTGTACAGATAAAGTACATTGCCAATCCTCTGACTTCCAGATTATACTGAATTCAGCTGCAATTCACTGGAGTGGAAAACACTGGTTTTTCAGAATTAGTATCCTCTGTATTAGGATACAGAGGTGTCAGAAGTCCTTGATGTTCAATAGCTGTTTGAAGAATCTCCTTAAGTTTTACTGCTTTTGTGAAGTCATTATTCTTGTTTCACAATGCCATAAAAGTTTCATTTTCACATATACAGGGCATTTGTGAGCTGAGCATAAGAATGCACCCATTAAATTTATCACGGATATTCAGCACAGTAATATGGAGTACTGGACTGAATTTAAAGAAAAAAATAATCTGCAGTTGGAACATACTGTGTTTACGCTCATTTACAGAGCTCGTATTACAGTCAAAAGAAGAGGCTTAAAAATAAAATACCAAAGAAAGTCTGAGCATTGGAGGTCCAAGAAAGAAAAATTTAAGATCCTTTGTATCCCAAATTTGCACTATTGCTTCTCAGTTTTCTTACATCTTCCATCTAAAAGTTTATCTTTCTCTACGAATAAAATTCATTAATACCTATGGAAGACTAATGAAATCTGGAAGTCATTCTAATAACAAAGGGGATTTGAACCATTGCATGGTATGCTTCTACTTCCAACATTCACTGCAACCTACTTACCAGAAAGCCACCTAAAACATTGTAAAAGGCTACTACAGCCAGTCTGATAAAGCAGACTGTCCAGACTGTACATCAAGTATTCCGCAGCTACAGAAATATTTACTTTTTCCTCCACTCCTCTGGCAAGAGTCTAGAAGGAGTCCTGCAATCCCATACAATGTTGTGCCAGCTCTCTGAATTTCTTCCTTTTTACTCTATGCCTACTTGTTCAAGTACTCCATCACCTACCTGTGTTTGTGTGTGTAACCTGACAGCAGCAGAAGAGTAGCTAATGCACAATGACAAGCAGGAACAAATACCACTCCATTGTCATGAAGCAGGGCAGAGATGTTTCTACAGCATTATTTTAAAACCAAACTCTTTATTTTAAGCCTCTTGTGACATAGCTTACTCTACAGGTATAGAGAGGTAACTTTCTAGTAAATCTCAATGATAAACTGTGATTTATGGCCATAACCAGACAGTAGAGAAATTTAAGGATACATGAATACTGTACTGCAGTTAAAACTACCAAGACTGTTCAATTTATCTATCTATCTATCCATCCATAACTACAACAAATTATACATTGTTATTATTAGAGATTATTTCTAGTAATTTCTTACTTTAAAAAATTTCCACAGATTCTACTCACCAGCTCTTAAGGGCCTAGGGACTCCTCCAACAAAAATCGTTTTCCGAGGATCAAGTGGCTGCGAACCATCCATGACAAAGTCACTATCACTTAGATTCCAGGGACGGATCTGAACCTATTGAATTGGGAAAGAAAATAGTATCCTACTTTAGGTTTCACTACAATGTGGAAATATGTTCACCAGCCTGTATAAATTGTCAGTCATAACATCATTACCATAGCATGTCTAGGTGCTTTGTTTTAATCCTGTTAATTCAAAATACTACAGTTTTAAAATAATACAAGTGTTGAGCTCTGCCAACAGTAGTTTATTTTTGATTTTTTCCATCTTCATAATTTCCAATGCTGCTTTAGACAGATGGCAGCCATAGCCTGCAGACCATTGACTGTGTACTTACTGGCTTGTCCTTGATAGTGGGGCTGGAAACACAGAGATAGAGCTTTCCGTCTTCTTCAATGCAGGCATCAATCAGAGCCTGAACAGAACTCTCTTCTTGGAACAGGAGGAATGCATAACCTGGGAAAAAAACCCCAACCAATTGATAGATTTTCTCTTATCTTTATTTTACAGAATCATCTTTACCACTCATTTTTCCATACAAAAGCAAAAGAAAGTCAAAATCGTATTAGTCATCTTTTTTAACTATGTACTATATTGCCACAGTTAACAGAACTTCCATCTGTAAAATAACTGTCAGAAGAGACTAATAACCAAATAAAAGTAAATATGTCTGCTCTATCATGCACTGAAAGTCTAGGCTAAACATCATTCATTGGCTGCAATGGATATCATACAATGAAAATCCGACTTGGCACAAAGGACTAATCTCTATTCAAGAGATTAGATCAAAGTATTTTATTACATAAGTGACCCAGCAAACCTTTCAAACACTAAAAAAAGAGAATTAAAATGCTTATTTAATGCTACATAAAACCAAACAGTCAGACAGGCAAAGAACCTGACACTCTACTTTCACAGTTACAGTATGAGATACACTGGATTTGTTACTTTACAAATAAACCAATAGCATAATTAGGGCTGTATACCAAAACAAACTTTAAAGGGACCACAACTCACATTTCTTTCTGAGATTACTACCAAGTTTAGAATTTTTACACAAATTCATAGTTTATGACTTTGATGGAGAAGTAAATGCTGAAGCAGCTGTTCTAGAACGGGCTCAGGAAAAGGGAACATGGATGTATTGCCAAACCTTTTGGAAATCTTGCTGAATTTCTGAGAGAAGCTAATTAACCACCAGACACTCCTCATTGCAAACAGACACTGTAGGTCATCAAGGCAAAGGTGGTAGGATGTATCTTGAAGACCACTAAAGAATCAGTGCAGTAGCAATGTAAGATTTAAGAAACAAATGCACAACTGATTTTAGACATGTGGGAACAAGAACAGGATTTTAAGAAAAAGCTGTTAGGTTTATACTGGTCTTTCTAATAAGTTGTACTGTATTTCTTACCCCTCATACCAAAGTCCCATCACAGCTACATAAAAGGGACACATGACAGGATTTTATGTATTCTATATTCTTATGTAAATATTATTTAGTTTCATAACAAATATGTCACTTAAGGGAATCTTTTGGACTTAGGCTGAAGAATTTTCTTGTAAAGTCTATTCTTCATTGCTGAACTGTATTTTTTTTAATGATGACCTATTTAACTTAAGCTTAATCAGTAAAAAATTAGATTCAAAATCTATTTTAATGGGGATGTATTTCACTATTTACAATAGAATTAAAAATCCATGTATTACCCATGCAAAACTCAGTGAATGAGGGCATGTGCCCTCATGGGTGAGGTAAGCTCAGCCATGAGATGTTCTCATGGGTGAGATAAGCTCCATGTAACTGTCCTTACTTGGTCAGAAGCCAGGCACATACATTCCAGTTTGAATGGAAAGCTCAGTTCAAGAATGATGGTAGTACAAAAATTTGATTAATCTAAGGGAGGGTTAATTGCACGATACTGTCTAAGGAACCAGACAAAAAAAACATTTTACAGATACTGATTTTTCATCAGTTTGTCTCCTAATGCAGTTTAAAGGTACTGCCATATAGCTCCAGATATACAAGATTGGTAAGTGCCTCCCTGTAATATACCACCTCTACACCTCAGCTATTAATATGCTTAACTGGAGCAACTTGCAAAAAGATAGAAAGTTCAAGTACAAGAACTCAAGGAGTGGTAAGGATTATTACAGATTTCCCAGAATACTCTGAGTTGGATGGGACACACAAAGATGACTGAGTCCATCTCTTAAGTGAATGGCCCATATAGAGATTGAATCCACAACTTGGATTCTTATTAGCACCATGCTCTAAAATACTAATCTCAGGGTCACATCATACTACCACTCCTGACACGGAAATGAAAGCAATAGAAAAACCATACGTTAATACTGCTTTCTCAGCCTCATGTAAAAAACATGTACTCATGTCTTGGTTTATCCCACTTAACTGAAAGCCTCAGAAAGCCTTGTGTCATGATCTCAGCTGTCCTACTCCTCTCCGAAGTCAAAGTTAGCCTGTACCATCAAATTGGTCTGTCTGTAGCTTCACTCTAGAGCTCTAGACCTCCAATGATTCACAATGCTCACTTTAAGAGATGGACTGTGGACCACTAAAACAGAAAGCCCATCAGGTAAGTTTGAAAAGCCTAGCTGTTTCAAGAGTCCTACCTAATTAAAACTTTTCCTTGTTTCATATTCATTATATAAAGAACAAATCAAAAGCAAAGCATTCTAGCATTGACTGGATTCATGCTAACATGATTTTCTTAGCAAGGAAAAAATTCTTTATTTCACAGTAGTATGAAAGTTTACCAGAGGGAGAAAAGATGCCTCTTGTCATGCATATTCTGTGTAGAAATCAGAGAGCAGCTTGAAATTCTATCAACCTCCAGCTACTAATTCCTGTCACTAATGGCTTAGGGGAGGAGTCAAGAAAAATCAGTGCAAGCCAACGTGGCACTGCCATGTAGTAACATGCTAGTGACTGCAGTGGTGTTTTGTGTTGGGGCTGGTTCCTTCACTGTCCGGATAGACTCCCCACAGAGGACACTAAATGGCCTCAGTATAGTGCAATTATTGCCTAGAGAATGCTGCACCTTAAATCATGAAGAATCAGTCCAAGCTGCAGGTTAATACAGACAATGGAAAATATGCAACCCATCTTTCAGTTTTTCATTTAGTCATCTTTGATGGAGAATAAACTCCAAAACACATGTGAAGTGATAAAACATGTGATAAACATGTGAAGTGATGCTGCACTATACTTATGAAATCCATGTATCTGGTCTTTTAGATATCCTCAGTTTAGGTAAACCAATCAAGCTCAATGTGCTTATATTACAGTGACCTGACTTGCCCTCTATACTTCCCTGGCCAGATTCACATCGATTAAAGGAAGCTTAGACACTAATCACACATGAAGATACCTACAGTTACTTGCCTGAATCCCAAGTTTGATCCTATTCAGTGTGATCAAATTAGCTGGTAACAAGTTCAGCAGAACTTATATGGACCTGGGGTTTGCTTCTGAAACTAGAAGCAGAACACTTCCAACCTGAGATTTTCAGCTAGTGAGCGCTGAGTTAGCAATAGAGAACCTTGAATAAAAAAGCTACTGCACAACTGTTGTGATACAAGGCAGCAGAAACAACCAGTGAGAAAAGGTTGGGGACACTGTTCTGTTTAAATCAGATTATCCTCTGAGACAGACTATTTATAGTACAGAGGACACAAGCAACTGCACGTATTTTGGAAGGCATTTTTTTAATTTCCATATCCTCAAGGCACCACTTCTTTGAGAGCTTCATTATCACAAGGAGGAGTCCTCAACCCAGCAAGTTACTTTGGACACGTGTATTGTTTCATAAGTAAGTGTATTTTCCAGCTACGTAATAACATGAGTTATGATAAACAGTGGCAAGACAGAAAGGAAGGAATTCTACATTACAGCTGGCAGATCACTGTTACATACTTTGTACTTTGAACTCAAAGGAGGGTTTTTTTCAGAACAGAGCTTCCTTGTAAGATCAATGTAAAGTTGTAAATAATCCTGTTATGTTTGGATCTAATTTTGTGGTGAACCAACACAAAATGTAATTAGTTAAGAACAAGCAGTTGGTGTTTCTCAGGAGGCAGCCAGACTTGATGGATCGAGACACTTTCTGAATTTCTTTCAGCAAGGAAACACTTATTATGAACTTGGCCTTCCCTCAGGACCTTCTGTAAGCAGAGACCTTGGAAGAAAGCACAGCTTGGAAAACTGAACAGTTAAAAAAAAAACAGGCTGCATCTCTTCACCACTGAGAAGACTTAATGAATCAGTCCAGAATGGTCAAATTCTGAGATGTCTTTGGAAAGCAATACTATGGCAAATCTCTAATGAAAATACAGACACTGAATTAATTTAATGCAGTGATAATCTAGAAAATAGAGATGGAAAATAATAAAAAACATTAGTTCCCTGAAGTAATATAGTATATATTTCTCAACTGGTAATTACTGATTGATCTTAGAGCTTTATTTTGCAGATCCTTAGCCATTTCAGACATCTTATTAATGTATGCATACTTGGTTCTTGTCTGTCCACACAAGTAATAGTAATGAAAGACAATTTTAAACTAAATTCTTCTACAAATTCTTCTACAAAATGTGTCATATATATTGCATTGAACAAAAGAGATATATACACAGTAACACTTGGCAGTTGTATGTTTCCAGAGTATTTACAAAGAGAAACCTACACTGTATTTTAAATGTGTTAGGCTACACACAAAAAATACTGAGTAGTGCAGCAAACTGAAAATTAGGCTGAAGTGTTAATATAGAAGAACAGTAAATGCTTTTATTTTTCAAGTAAGGATCAGCTAATCATGGGAAATCAACTTAGAACTTAGGTAGCAAATGTTACCTGAATTAATTAGATCGACACACTTAAGTTCTTCTATTTGTATTCTCTGTCTTTAATAAGCTCTGCTTACAACACAGTTTGGGTTTTTTTCTTACTGCAGTAATTATAAACAACCCAACTATATTAAAAAGCTTTATCAAATAAGGAAGTCTGGAAATACATCCTTAAGATGTTCAGATGCTGAGATAGGATGATCTCCTTGGAAACGAATGCCAGAATCCATTACTTTCAGGTAAGAATATATTACATCTTCTGTCTTCTATATATTCATCACAGACTCTATGAGATGCATCTTCTTCAAAGAGTTCCTTGGGAATTTCTCTTGGTAATTTAAGAAGAGAGATGCACTCTAAGATAATCAAATTTAACTTGACAGTAGCTTTGTGTGCTGGGCTGACAATCAAAAAAGCCAAAGTCTCTTTGTTTGTCTTAGAATTTCCTTGTAGCATTCCTAAATGCTATTCAAATGCTTTCAATTTCATTTCTCACTCTTTAGAGGACCCATCGGGGATAATAATCTTGTCTTTTCCCTGGCATAGACGCACAGATAAATAAAGAATCAGTTTACAAAAGAACTATACCTACATTTGTCATTTCCATAGAAGGAATGAATTGCTGCATTCTCTACAAAACCAATAATCTCTGCACTGCTTTCATGTCTGGATCACAATTCTGCATTTATTTTAAATATAATAATACATGGTTGTACATGTACAGATATCTTATGTAATTTACTACAGAATGGGTTTTCCAACTTTGTAAGAAATAGTAAAAAATCTAGTCTAACAGCAATACTAGAAATAGTTTTTCTAAAAAAAATCAGTATTTAATAATTTATCAGAAAAGATTAGAGCTTCAACAGGAAGCTTACATCCTAAAAATGCAAGATGCACAGTATTTGATTATCTTTACTGGATAAGCAAATGCATCCTTCTGCATCCTGCATTTAACTTCTTAAGAAAATATGGAAGATTTTGTCTTAAAAATATGATATCAAATTTCAGTTTTAGAAACTATTAAGAAATGCAAATACGGAACTGATGATCAATGATGCATACAACTACAGTGTTGACCTGATCAGGCTCAGTAATAAAACAACAGGTTTTAGACTCAGTATGTAAAGGAACCATACCTGGACCTACACTGCAACAACAGATTTAACTGTTCACAGGGACTCTACATTATACACTTTTGAAAAAGGCAAGACAAAGTTTCCCAGAGCAAGATTTGCACTCAGTGACAGATCAAAACCTTCTAACTCTCTTACCTTTTGGTGGAAAATAGGACTTGCTCTCTGCTTTGTGAGGCCAGTCTACTACCAAGGGCCCAAATCTTCTGAAGCTGGCAGTAATTTCATCTAAAAACATGTACAATAGTTGCAATTAAAGTAAATTGCGTAAGTCAATGAAAAAATACTATCGAGCAAATACTATCAACCTTTGTTTCTAGCAAAGGTTGACATTTCATGGAAAAAAAACCAGAACAAAATTTACAGGTTTCATAAACACAAAACTTAAATAGATGCATCTTCCAAAGTGTTAATATTTACACAACGCATTTCTGGTGATTTTAATCTTACGTTTGTTTTTTATTGCTTTAAAACAGAAGCATTTCAGAAGCATATGGGAAACTAATGCCTTTCGTGAAAACTTGTATGGTACTTCTCTAAATTCAAATCAGAATCTGGTTTGAATGAAATCAAATCAAACATCACTGTTTAGTGATGTACAGTTCAGAGTTTTTTAAGTAGATATTTATATACCAAGTAACACCACAATTAACATAGTAGCAGTTTCCTCTATATAGGAAATATATATAGGATATCTGCCCTATAGTAGACACTATGATGCAGAGATAGAAATTTAAAATTGTCTATTTAGAGGTGCATGAATAGCCTCGTTGCAAGATCTACAATGCCCCTTGCACAGCTTTATGAGCTCTTTCTATCCCAGCCACACCTACATGTCAGTGACTGGAAAAGCCTTGGCCATGGGTTAAAAATACTCTTAAATAAATAAAAGCAGCAACTCAAACACAAGTATGCTTAATTTCTTTCAGTCATATCCTGTCATCATCATATATACAGGGAGGAGAGAACTAAAATGTATTTCCATGTCTTTTCGTTTAGCATTTGTATTATATAGGCTGAAGTGCATTGAAATAAATCTCACAGTAGATTGTAGGGGAGAATCTCAATGAAAATGGAACCAAAATCTGGTCTTTGCATGTCTGAAAGTTAATTAAATGCAGTCAGCTTATTTGGTTTGCACGTTATTCGAGGATTACCCTGAATCTCCTAAAGGGACTTCTGTTTACATTAGAAAGTTAACATGCAATTTATATTTATCTGCACTGGAGAAACCTCATATTAAACAGCACTATTACTTCAAATTACCAGCGGTGTACAAAGCAATTTCAGCTGCTTAACAATCTGAGTTTCTGTAGTGCAGTCTCTGTTCAATGCATCGAGAGTGTTCTGCCACTTGACCTTGCTCTAAGTTTCTCTATTTCTCATCAGGATAACATTAACCTTTCTATATCACTGCTGAGATCTTCAGATACTAGTAAAATAGAATATGAAATTAATTTACAAATGGAAACTTCCTATGACTACAGAATAAAGCAGGCCCAGACAGAGGAGGGCTAAGATGCATGTGAAAGGAACATGCAATATAAGCAGGAACATGCACTCCAGGCATTACATGCAACTGTAATATGCACGTGCAGAATCAGAAACAACTCCACCATCACAAACCCAAAAGAGATGACACTAAGCTCAACACACCTATCGACATACATAAAGAACATACAGTTACAGCACAACAATATTTTGCCGAGTGGCTTATTTTTACTACTTAAGTCAGGTTTTTCATGATTTCCTTTTGTCTCTCCCTCCAAACTTAATCTGCTTGGTTTTCAGGCAGCTCACCTTCATCAATATCCGGTGGAAGACCACCAACGAACACTTTCCGAGAAAAACGCTCAATTCGTTCTCCGTTCTGATGAGCTGAATAGCAGGTAGGGGAATTCAAGACTCCAACTTGATCACTATGACCATCGTCCAGCAAGCCATCATCTATTGGGAAGAGGGAAGAACGGCCTTAAAAAGAAAAGATAATAATGTACATTAAAATAATTTTGTGGAAGTACATGATTGTGCAGTTTTAGGGAAGGGGGGAAGAGCAGTCTGGAGAGTGAAGATGAAAATACCAAGATATTAGAAAAGTTGACATTAGTTTAAAGAAAAATTAGGAGAATGGAAAATTGTATTTAACTTCAAAATGGAATTTCAAGATTGCAAGCTGAAGTGTAATACGTCATATTACATTATATGGTAGATGCTGTGCTGCATCCAGTAGAAAAGTGGTAATTTTGTTTTAATTAAAGGGTCTTATTTATGAAAAGAAAATATTACAGACTGCTTAAGTGAGTTTTGTTAGTCTGCCTTTGGTTCAGCTTCAAGTTAAAGGATAACTCCTCCACCTGAATGACTACAGTGTGTCCAAACCCCTTAAAGTTTAATTGACCAGGGAGACAGAAACATCACAATCACAAGTTTCAAACATGTATTTCTGAAAGTATCGGATGCATAAGAATATATTCAATTTCTAAGAAAGTAAAAGAGAATTTTAGTAAATGTGCAAAATGTAACATTTGAAAAATGAGTCAAAATGCTGATTTATCCTTCTCACTCAATTTACCAGAGATCTGGGGGGAAGCCTTGCGGTGGTTCCTAACATGGAACTGCAGTGAGTTTACTGTTACCCTGAAAACCAAGTGTAAAATCTGAGAAGTTCACAGGATGGCTTTGTAAATGCAATCTGACCCAGACAGACACTTAGAGGGCAGAGGGAAATGAAAATATGGCAATTCTGTCCCACGTATTTCTTCCCTATTTCATATTTACAAATTTTATAGAACTCCAAACAAAAAAAAAAATTCAGAAGGCCAGGATATTATCTTAGCGTATTCAGTCTTCTATTGCTTTAGTCAGCAACATTAACGACAGTTTCAAATTCAGAAGTCAGTCTTTGAACTGCAAAAAGTTCCGAAAGAAAGAATTTGTGAAGCAAAACAGATAGCCCACATCATAATTTCTTCTGAAATGCCATTTTTCCTGTTTGCCACCAATTTAAAAAATAATTATTAATTCACCTGCTTTCCCAAAAGAAGAAAGCAAGCCAAACCAAAATCAACCTAGAGGATGCAAGCCTGTTTTTCATCTTCTGAAATATATAATTTCAGAATATACAATTTCTTCCAGATTCACCCACTGAATACCCATAGACAGGACCAGTGGGTCCCTGACAGCTGAGTCTGCAGTACCTTGGCTGTGAGCAATACTGCAGTCTTTAATTCTCCCCACTCAGGGGAACATTACCAGCAAAGCCTGGTAGGAACACCAGCAGACCCAGTGCTGACCAGCTGGGGGGTGACAGCAGTAGGAAAGCCCTTCATTTCCAGAAGACCACCTAAGAATCAGGTGGTTAAAAGACAAGGGTGGAAAACAGCAAATATTATGAACAATAACCTATGGTTATGGTAATGCCTATTGATCCTGATGTGGTATCTCAATAAAAAAAATGAAACTGAATGAAAGCACAGGACAATATAAAACAACCAAATATCATAAAGTATCATGAGGAGGACAAAATTAAAAGCAGGACTTCAGGATTGTACCAAGTAACAAAGACTGCTAACTACATCATTTTTATGGTGGTGTGTCTGTTTCTTCAGCAGGCATCTGATGGAGAGGAGTACAGAAAATGCAGAAAGCTATAGTAGGCTCTTCCTTTCCATTAGGACTGGTGATAGTCATTCTCAAACACACCTAGTAGGGAGCAGGAGATGTTTGGTCTCGTAAGAACATATTCAATAGGTCTGTAACAGCAGAGTTGCCTTAGAAAGTGGAAGCATGTAGTTGAGTGCTCAATGGGACAGAAAATTGAGCAAGCTAAGGAGACACAAAGCTAACATACATGGATGAAGCAGGCAAGCAGATTCCTCTTGTATATCAACTATTTAGGCACGAGAGGAGCAAGATTGAATCTATAAGATTGTATCAGCTGCATAATGTAGATATCAATTTTAGTTATTAAGACAAGGAAGAATGATCAAATCCTACAGGTGTAGATGAACGAGTGGTAAGATTTGGTTGTGCAACCAAAAAAAGTTGGATGCAACAAATTTCTGAATTACTGAAGTGAATGATGGACAAAATGGAGCTGTTACCATAATGACAGTGACAGGAAGAAGCGCATAATGGAAGATATAAGACGCATATTGCAGGAACCTGCAGGAAACTGCAAAGTGGAAATTTTAAGACATTCCACTAATAGAGTTAATGTCAATATCTTAAATCTAAAATTACTGTAATTTAGCTTGGTTTATAAGAAGTACTTCTTAGACAAGTATGTAACAGGGAAAACAGTCATAGAATAACCTTCAGAATAATTTATTTTTACCCACAGACCCATGTTAAAATCTAAGAACAATGATAACTGTTCTTTACAAATAAAACCAGTAGACCATGTTCTGAAGTGTTACCAGAGAGCTCAGTTTTACTTTAATGTGGGTAAAGGTTTGCCAAAAGCACTGTAGCTCCTCTGAGAGCTAAGGTGACATGAAGGACAATGGATAAACACTTTCAGAGTAATATGGTCTACATGACTCCTATTACTTTCTTCTCCATCCTCTTCACTTCTAAATGTCTCTCAGATAAAGAAAGCAAAAAGGTAATTTTCTTTTCATTTTCAATAGGCTTTTACATTTCTCCTGATGACCATGAATAAAAAGGGTAAGCCCCTCTAAATACTCATTTCTTTTTGTTTTATGACAGTAAAAAAATAAGCAGAATCTGGCAGGAATTGTCAAAATCATTGTACTGTTACATCCACTGGCCATGATCTACAACATCATCCCTCTCTAGACTATGGCTACCAAGCACTAGGTTATGAACTGATGCAGAGACCAAGACAGACACATGAACTGATGTGTATGTGGTGAATATCAGAAGCTACCAAAGATCTTGGTAGGTTGTACTTGCATGTTTTACATGGTCTTTATAACAACTTCAGATCACATCCTGGCACAGTTAGAACAGCAGAGCTTTTTCAAGGTTAGTGAGCACATACTAGCTTATGCTATGAAGATCTGTTTACTACTTCTAAGAGCAGTCTACTAGATTTCTTGCTAAGTTTATGAAACATTTTTACTCTGTACACTACTGCTTCTACAGAAGCAAAAGGAGATGAGTAAGGACAACAGCAAACTGTATACTCTTAAAGGGAGCAATGACTGCAAGCAGTACCATTAGCATGAACTAAATCACGATTAGAACTGCAGTTTTTGACTGATTAAAGGATTTGCAATTCAGACTCTAAGAGAACAATGATCGTATCAATCCAGACTGTACTCCTCCTTCCCTCACACCCTCCATCTTCCCCAAACTAAGATAACATGCAGATAGGCAATTACAATCAATAATCTGGATTAATTAACCATAATGATCAGTAACAGATCAGAATTAATTGAACTGTAACAAACAGAAGTGAATTACCTCGTCTTCGCCCATAACTCCTCGCTGCATGCAAACAAAGGACAAATTGTAAAATGTCAAATAACTGTATCATGCCCACAAACTAAAATATTTAATATACAAAGAACCATGTGGGTTAGCAGTAAGGAAAAGTCTGCATCTGTAACTGGTACTGATAAATGTAGATGAGAATACATTAAAGTGTCACATAAATACCATACTATTTTACTATTAAATTGATGTTAACACCAGCTGTAAGGAAAATGCTTTCAAATATTTCAATGTCTTTAAACTTGATCTCCACTTCATGTTAATTATGGATGAATTAATTATGGGAACTTTGCAATTCATCCTCAAAACGTGATTTGTATCTTATACAACTGCTTAAATAAAACACATAGGGTACCGAAATTGTAAAAAGGCAAATACAACTGCAAAAAGCATGTAGTAAGTGTTAAATTAATCACAGACACATCCTGGTCCACATGGAACAGTTTGTACAGTCCTTTGCAGTGACAATGCAAATGCTGTAAGCCGTGACCTTCCTTTTTCATGAAAAGACCTAGCAGAAAATTAACCGCAAGGTTTTGTTTGAAACAAAAGATGCCTTGTACTAGCAAACGAAATCAGGGCACAAGTCACAAGAAATAGCATTGTATCAAAAACACTGCACAAAGGCAAAGCAACAATTTCGCACAGACTGCAAGTAAATCCAAGATTTTCCTAACTTCTGAGTTTTGCAAGGTTCTTAAAGAGATCATGCTTGTAGCTACAGTTCAGAAAACCAGACTGATTGCTTCTCTGCCTGAAGGCTAAAAAACTAAAAATAGACAGATTACTAATACAGAAACTCTTAAGATTTGTGAAATTTCAGTTACATTTCCACAAAGTATTTTCTATTCCTGTTTAACAGACTCAGTATCTGAGAAAAATTACTTTAATCATTACACAGTTAAGTACCCAAACAGATGTTACTATTAACCATAAGATCATAGCAACGTTTAGGAACAGACTGCTGTGTCTTGGCATTATTGTTTTAATTTTACAAGGCATCTATACATACAATTCCCCTAAAAGCAACTGTTGTTCTAGGCCACTGAAATACATATAGTCTCAGAATAACTGATTCATAAATGCCATTCATTGTTCCATTCTCATATTATGAAATACTGCTATCCTGGTGCCTCCTATTTGATTAGGGGTTTTCAAAAATTTCATTAGATATAATATTTTTTCCCTTTGTTAATTTTATCCCTTCCAACTAGAAATTTAATAGGTTGCTTATGGAATTCTGAAAAAATCTTTCTTGTTTTTTCTCCCTTAGAACAGTTATATTTACACAACAGTCTTCCTCTTTCTATTCAACTTGCACTGAACTTGCTTTCAGATTTATTCTCTCTCATCTGAAATTATTATTGAAGAGAATAGTCTCTGCTTAAAGGTTTTCAGATCCTTAGAATTTCTACTAGAAAGCCAAAACAGAAAAAAACCACTTTCTGAAAGAGAACTAGGTATCTAACCAAGTGGAAATGCTTCAATTCAGATTTCCAGCACCAAAATAGACTCCACAAACAGTGTATTCTTCCCTGTGTTCAGCTCTCTCACTAGGTGCTGGGGTGACTGATGCTGAGCTTCAGACATGTTTTCTCCCTGAAGCCAGGCCCTCAGAAGACATGCAGTTCTGTGTCAGTGCTGCAGCATGTACGAATCTCTGACTCCTGGCCAAAGTGACTCCCACACAGCATTAGCAGTAGCGTCACTAAGCCCTCGCCTAACCCCCACGTTTGTTTTTTTTTTTTCAATTCCGTCCACAAATAAAACTAGAGTAAGCAGGAAAAATTCAAGTGCAGCCCATCCACAGCATGATCTGCAGTGCTGTGCTCTCTCTCGAAGGATAACCTAGTTATGCATACTAATATTCATCTTTCAGCACAAATGTCAGAACACTGCTTTTCTTTTCTTCTGCCCCTTTCAGCCTACCAAACCAGCTCAGCCATTTTCTTACATTTTCATAGTTAGGACAAGTTGATATGCAGAGAAATATTTTGTTACAGAACAACTGAAGTTTTCTTCTTTGTGCATTCAAAAAAAGGCAACAGCAATTTTAATGAAAAACAAAAAAGAGTTACTAAAATGTTAAAAACACCCAATGCAGATAAACTTAAAACAGCAGATGGTGCAGTATTTTATATATATGGGAATTAAAATGATGCACCAAAGTTGTCTGTGTATTTCTTGCTTCAGCAAAACAATGAAATCAGGGAAAACAGGAGGAAAACTGTACCTGATGTTGTCACATCATTTACTCTACTTGTATGGCAAACCTTCCACCCTAAAATTTATGTCTTGCTCATTTAGATTGCAAACTAGTCTGGGCAGGGATTTAGTGCTACTTTGCATCTAGAAAAATGCAAAATTTCTGTATTTATTAAAATAATCTACATATAATGTCTTACACCTTACAGAGCATGGATGCTTACAGAGCATAACAACTGTATAAATATAGTTAATTACAGGTTTACCTATACATCTAGATTATACAGATATATTTAACATACATATAATCAGTACACATGTTTATAGATAAATAACTGCAGGGAAGACAGTTCTTTTGGAAAAGGCCAGATACTGTAGGCAAATGATTGCTTTACAGCAACAAAAAAGGAGAGATTAAACTGCTTTCCTTAACTTGTCCAAATAATAAATCATACAGAGATTTGTCTTTTAGTTTATAAAGCTGGATATTTTGATTAGCGAGTAACTTGGAAAAATTTCAAATGAGTGATAATGCATGAAAGACACTTTTATTCTAGAAAGTATCCATTAGGCAACACATACAAAAAAAGTATAATGATGCCCACTGAAAAAGAAATCCAGTTAACACAGGAACCTTCCAAAATTAAAGAGTGCTGTATATACAACAAAGCTTTTAGCTAAAACCTTTCTCTATGTCCCTGAAATTTCATACTAGTACAACTTACACCCATCAGAAGAAATTAAAATCCCCATTTCTGCAATGCAGATCAGTTCACAGATTTAAGACATAAGTAAATACATTTGTTGTGCATGCTTATCTAACACTGAGACAATAGAACTGTATGTTATGTGAGTAATGCTACCACAAAGATAGCAAATGTATGGTTTCATTTCATTCAAACACATATTTCAAATACATAACCAGAGATCAAATATACACATATTGAAGTAACTCAACTGAGTCACTGAGCTGAATTAAAAATACTATGTTGTGTATCAGGAAAAACTACCAGGAAAATTTCCTACAAAGGTAACTGTTAAGTTTATAGAAAGATAAAATATTATTTGTCACTAACATTCCGACATAATCAGATACAGAGACATGATGAAACCTTTTTCATTAATAATTGTAATTTAAAGAAATCCACAAACAGTTAAAGCAATAATTTCCCAAGAGTCTAGACTAAAGGAGGTAAGTGCCTAATTCCCATTTTATTCTATTGGATTTGGGTGCCCAAATTCCATTTAGATGTCTTTAGAAATAACACCTTCATAGATCTTAAGGCTGAAAGACATCGTTATGACCATTCAAGCTTAGCACACCTGAAAGAAGTGTGTACAGGAGTTCATTTAGCAATTCCTCTATAGCAAGTTTAGCAATTCCTGTATAGGAAGTTTAGCAATTTCTGTTTGAAGTAAAACAGCTTTCTTTAGAAGCACAACCAGTTATAGCATCTCTAAGAAGTCTAATATGCTCTTGCTAAACTAATCAAATGGGGAATTATGCTTCAACAGCCATTGAAAAAATTCAACTCATTAAAACTATAGAAGGTGGAGGGAACCCTGTAATAGGGAAAAACACCCTACATATCCCAACAAACTTGACTCTTGCAGTATTACTTGCTTCACAAATGTTCTCTCTAAGCTGACAAAGATGCAGTCAGGTATACCCATTCCAAAGTATCCTTTTTTACTTTTGAGAGATAACAGTCATTAAAAATGCATTACTTTTTTACAGCTTAAGCTGAAATAGATATGAAATTATATATAATTTATTAAAACACATAAATCAAATTTCCTTTAGTTGATTTCATTAATTTAAATAATGAAAACTGTAAATATTAATATTAGGTATAGTTCAGCAAGTACATTTTAAACGACTTGGAAAAAAATCTATCATATAAGAAGATGAAAATCTACCTAAAAAAAAGTTTTATCTAGAAGTGCTTAGTCTTAAAAGGGCTGCACAGATCCAGCCTGGCTCATGTTAGAACCTTTCTGGAATCCAGAGATACCAGTTCACTAAAATTAATCCAACTAAAATCCAGAGAGGGTCGGTGTTAAGCATTAGTGTATGCATAAACGGGCAGAGGATGCTTAAAATATTTGTGATTTGCTTTCATGAAGGTCTGACGTTCCTGTTCCTCATCACAGCTACTACAGTACTTACTGAGAAATTAAGGGACAAATGTGAGTCTTTGAATTACTAACTCTTCCCAATTCTCCCTCCAAGTCACCAATTACAGATAGAGGGAAATGTTAGCTTGAACCCACATAAGTGGAGAAGGAAATTGAAGTCTACAAGTTTATCAACAGGTGTTCAAACCATAATTCTCATTACTGCACATTTGGAGGAAGTCCCTCAATTCTTCCTAAGAAAGAAAGGTTGTGCAGAGTCTGAGCAGCTGGAGCTTCCCAGGAGTTGTTTCCAGTGCTTCTGCTCTTGAGCTGCAAGAAGCTACAGTTAAGACATGCCAACCTGAAGGGGCTCTGAAGAGTGTTCCTGACTGGCCTGGCCTGCACTGACAGCTACATCAGACTCCAGCTATGTGATAGAGACTAGGCTCTGAATTAAATTCTAAAGGACGTAATTTTAAAAACTAAGCATTGCAGCACCTTTTAGATACCCAAACTGTTATTTTTTATCTCACTTACTGAAGGCTGAAAATAATACTGCAGCTTTTAATATAGCAGTCACACTAAGTGCTACCTTAAAAAGTACAAGAGAAACCACACCAGTGTTAAAAGTAAGACTCTTCTTTAGCACATGTTCTAGCTTTATGGTAAGGTTTTGGGACAGACTGGTACTACTGCATTTTTCCAGTGTCCATGATAACAACAAACCCCTTCCTTCCTAGATATTCCATGGAGTAACAATAGTTCCCATGTGCTTTTTTAGCATGCAAAACTCTAAAAAGAGAAGTTCACCATTCTAAGTAAAATTAAATTAATTAAAATATTAATTTCTTACACCCATCTCACTGAAATATTTCAGTTTCTCTTCATACCTTCCCATCTAACACTTCCTTGTACAGCAGCAGATAATTGCATGTATACCACCTGAACAAATCAGTTTGCAGAATAGGTCTTAAAGCTGCAGTTAAATACAGAAAGTAAAATGTTGTAAATGTTGTGACATCAAGCACATCGATATTCAGTGTAGAGGAATCAAGATACTGATTTTATTTCAATAGTTATGTACTTATTTTTTTCTTTTCAAGATACTCCATTGTCTCAAACTTACCTATTCAATACCAAAGGATCTACTTCTACAAATGGCTATTGTGCAGTATTTTCCTTCACTGGGTATAAGGGTAAATCTTAATTTCCTTAAAATTTTAAACATTTATTCAGTATTATAAAAAAAACAGATTTAAAAAAAGGTAATATATATATTTGTTTACATCTTATGTCCATTTGCACAAGTAAATGACTGCACAGAACAGGTAAGGCAATTAAAAAAAAAAGATCACCAAAAACCACCACCACCACCACCAAAAAAACTACATAATTTCAAATGGCAAAAAATGTATTCTGAACATTTTTTTTAAAGAGATCTTTACTGTTAACACTTAGACTCACCAAGTGAATGACAAAAAATGTACGTCATGTGCAACAGCTTCCATGTTTTCTAATCTAGAGAAGCTGTGGCGCTACAGGTCTAATTTTTCCCAAGGCAGAAAACATTTATGTGCAAAACCCCTGATTTATTATTGACTTAGATGGATTACCAAGCTGTGCTTCCTTCTTTAGCCTTGAACAAAGGCTAAAGTTCATGCCTTCACTGAGTAGCAGATGTTCATGAAGCCTGACCTACTGGGAGAGGAACATGAACATGAACTCTAACTTCAGCATATTTCACAGTTAGACACGTGCTTGACAAAAGCCACTTAGAAAAACCCCCCAAAAAATAAAATGTTATTTCACATGAGTGTAATACAAAGTGTCTAGTTCACTCTTTATTTACCCAAAATAGAAAAACGTGTTTCTATCCTTCTTATTTTTCTAATTCCTGTTTCAGTAGAACAGATTTCTAACAGCTCTTTGGAAAACATACCCTTGGTTTGCTTGAGAACAACAAAGAATAGTGCATCATTATGAGTATTTCAGATTTCCAATAAGCTAGATATAATGAAAGGCTGTTGCAAGATTAGCTCTTGCCATTCAACTCCAAAAAATGGCAACAGTCCCATCAGTGTTGAAGACTAGAGGCAAGTAATTCAGTAACAGAATATAATAGCATAATTTTATACCAACATTTCAGATTTAAGCTAAGCTAGAGATAATTAGAAACTGTTATAAGATTAGAACTTACCATTTAACATCAGAAGATTGTCAGTCCCCGGATGTGGATAACTCAAGCGACCTTAAAAAAAACAAAAACCAAAGAACAAAACAAATGCAGAGGTTTTAGCTATTATGCTAGAAAAAATAACAAAATATCACTGCTTAGAATTTGCCTAAGGGAAATAAAGAGCTAATATTTAACTCCAAGCACATTAACCAACAATACCCTTGACCCAAGTTAAAGCTGACAAGAACAGACTTCTTAACCTTAATTCTCTGGTCATAAGATCTGCAGTGTACTTTGGGATCAGCTCCAATAGGATAAAGCCACTTTTTGTTTCATGACACCCAGAAATAGTGCTGACTGCTTTAGTCTTCTCTTTCACAGTGACTGTGAATAACTGCACTATGCACACTGCTTAACAGAGTGGCATTTCTACAGCTTAGTGCTTCCCTACTGAATGAATTTAAGAAAAATCATGTTAATAAGAAATAAGGCATGAAAATTTTATTAACTGATTTATGACTCCATCTTGGTGTGCTTCATATAACCCTGGTATGTAATATTTTTCAGTAAGTCTAGCAACATTAGAGCAGTTGCTTATCTACAGATTCAACAAAATTAAAGACTATTATAGATAAAATTTCCAGCATTTTAGACTGAATAAAAAAATTATATGAAAACCTTATATCCTGACATTAGAATTTTTCCGGAATTGCACTTTACTACACCGCTGGCATGCTACACTTTAGTAGTCAAATGAATGGTTTAAAATGCACAGCTGAAGTGTCTGTTCACTACAAATTCCTTTTTATTAAAGGAGACTTTTTCTGTATACAGGAAGCTGCAAACATACCAGTAGTGCACACTGACCTAGAGAGACATTTACAATAGCTGCTGTGCTTGGAAAAACTGTGGTTTAATGTGCAAATAAACTGCATTGCTATCTATCTTGTTATTCAAATATATTTGCTTGCTTAAAAACTGAAGAGTATTTTATGTATATATGCATATATATATGAATACTGTGACTTAAACATGTATCTCTTTTGAAGGAAATGGGAATTCTTGTAGAGGCATAAAGAAGAACTCAGTCTGGAAGCAATGGGCATGTAAAACTCACACATTTTTAAAGGTTCATATATATGTAGATGGCTTTCAAGAAAAAGAAACCCCAGGGGAAAAAAAGAAAGAAAGACAAATCAACAACCTATATATTAAGGCTGTCTAGCAATTCTTATCATACTCTGTTTGGTCCTCTACTGCTGGTAAACCCATGATCTTAACAGCAAGACTAGAAATTTCTTCAAGTAGTTCTGAGTCCCAAGGGACACCTTTGCGGTTAAATAAAAACTATTTTTGTTGCAAATCTGTAAATAGGGTTTAGGTTTTGTTCTTCTCCTTGAAGAAATCAACATGGTAATTTTCTGTCAAAAAATAATTTGAAAATTTACACATTGGAAACTCTGAAATGTAAAACTTCAAAACAGCAAGATTGAGATAATTTAGGGAATTTTGTTCAAGCTTATTTACAGGCATTGTGGCAAAAAAGATCTTTATACAGCTGTGAACTATTTGTCATCCCACAGACTTTATTATTGCAAGAATGGATGGTATCAGAACACCTGCAGATTAGGTAAGAACAATTTGCTGTTGAATTTGGAAGCACTGAAAGGCTAGGGCAGGCTCCTGGAGAAGGGTAGATGAATGCTATCCAAAAGGACTTTGCTGTCTTCTCTAATTTCAACAGAATCTTTGAGTAGACTTAGGCAAAATACTAAACAAAAACCTTTGTAGGAGCCTCTGTCTTTGTGTTTCTTGTCTTCAAAGTGTCCTGTTTTAATATACTTTTTCTGTCAAACTGAACATCTACAGTTACAGCTGATGTCTCTTGGAACTACAAAAATTCTACCCTTCTAGCAATGCATGCTGTTAAAAAGGCAAAAGCATCAGGAAAAAGGCATCCTTAAATTGCACTCTGGGAGCTGCCACAGCTCAGCCTGGTGTGTAAGTTACTTTGCTGTTTTTTAGGATTTTGCTCTATCAAGGCTAATATTCATTTTTCTAACAGCAAGAATTTCACAAGATCACTGCCATATCATATTTATATACATTGCTGTAGAAATACTTGTAATAATAGGTGTTCCTTGCAAATCAGAATGCTGTATTTATCAAGAATGACAAAAGAAATGGCGAGACATTATCTCAAACTTCCTTTAGTCTGTGGTGACGGTCTTTCTCCCTATCTGAATTAATCCTCTTTTCCTATTTAGCAAGAGAGACAAAGGATAGGGGTTTATTCTCTGCAATGATTTCATAAACAGAAGGCAGATTTAAGGCCTAGTAAGACAGAGAATCTCACTGGTGCAAACACCAGGGGAGGAAAACTAAAAATTAGTAAATTCTAGGTGTATAACTCTGCTTCTGCATTCTTTTGCTTTTTCCCCTTTATAGCTTCACAAATAAGCTACATCTGAAACACAGATGCCAAGCTGAAATAATGAAGGACTTCTCACTGAGTGAAGGACTGCACCAGACAGCTGGGCCAACCACTGCAGCCAAAAATAAAAACAAAAGATGGGAGCACCATCTTGTAACAATTTACTTTGCTTCTATCAAATACATCTTTCTATCAAATGCATCTTTCTAGCTGGCTATTTTCACTATAAGTTGTTCAATGCATCATAAAAGAAAATTATATCATTTTAAGAACAAGGCACAAATCCTGTCCCATCCTACATCGCTGTATAGACCATTCAATGGTCTTCTAGCAGGTCCAGTGGCCTCCACCTGCTTAATAAAGTAGTTTTAATAATAAAGATGACTGAATAGTTAAAAATCAACTGCCAATTAGTTAGAAAATAGCTAATATTTAAATAATAGACTTAGTCAACTCCTGAAAAATGTAAAGTAATTAATTCACTACCTCTCTGCAGAACTTGTCTATAGAATCAAAAATTTGTAACCTGCTACTATCTGAAACAAATACAGTGCCAAATATCACCATTCTGTATCAGAAAGATCATCATGTTACAGAAATTTTGTCTGTGCAAACCTGAACTTGCAACTTCACCATACTGCTAATGAATAATTCTCATGTATCATGGCTAAACTGAAACTAGCACTGCTAAGAAGCAGCAGGTATGCCTGACACTTCTTATGCAACTAGAATTCTATTGAACCTAGCCTCGTAATTGTAATTAACAGAACTGTCTGCCTTGTGCATGTTTCTCAATGCATTCTTCTGCAAGGACAGAAAAAAAATTAAAAGCTTCAAATAAACTTTGGTGGGCCACTTTATTCACTGAATCCACCTAAGAGTCTTGCTAATAATCCAAACTTGAGGAAAGAGAACAAACTTAGTTTTAGCAACATTTCCTCAATCTCATGTTACTGATAGGGGCAAAGGAAATTAAAATTTTTGTAAACTTCTTGGCATACTCACTTTTTATTTTAAGGGAAATTCACATCTACTTTTAGAAATACATACTTTTTATTCCTATTTAACTAAACTGTTGGAGGAATCCCCATATATTAAAACATAATTGCTTTAAAAATTGCTGACTCACAGATCCACAAGTTTGATATTTCATGTCTACTCTCCCCCTTTTAAAAAAAAGTCTTAATTGGTTGTATTAAGAGACTGAGAATCAAAAACTCCTTACCCCTTCCACGTGAAGCTTTTCCCATTAAGAGTGAATGGCTGAGTATCACAGTAGTTTCAGAAAACAGTTTTTGGAAACAGCGTAGTTAAGACAACTGCACAAACCCATGTTTGGACAACACCTAGCTACAGAAAACCTAGAGACTGCACTTTCCAATGCTTGCGTTTGAATTATGCAACTCAGAACGAGGCCAAATGGATTGTCTTTGATAGTCCATGTATTCAGACAAACCAGTCTCTCAGTCTTAAATATATTCTTTTATCAGAAGAAGTTTCTATGACAGAAAGAAGAAACAATGTGTATGTAAGATTTCAAAGCCTTTTATGTGACTAGCGAGAGAATTTTTTCCTGTTTTTTTCCAGCCTCAGAAATTCTTTTCTTGGCACAATTTGAACTACTCTAGCAAGAAACTGTGCAGCTTTAAACTTTAGAGCTTCGTAACACAAAATATAAAACAAATGTAATTGAAAGAAAAACAATGTTCTCTGAGCCACAATCTTTACTAGAAAGAAGTTTAAAACAGCAGGTAATGAATTCCATTAAATCAGTCTTCTCAATAATAACAGATATTGCACAGAAAATATAACAACCGTTTCTAAGCTTTCTCCGTAACCTGTTTCAGCCCAAATGCATTGTCCTTCCTGCTTCTTGACAGGAAAATACATTGATATTTGGGGGAGTAGAAGGAGAAAAAAGAAAAGCAGGTATGCAAGTGGTACGTCTGAAGAGTTATACTAGCAATACCTACATCTGTCAGGCTATCAGTTTTTTAATTCTATTGTTTTAAGAACTATCATGAGAATAAAAAGGGTTTTAAGAATAATGATACAAAAATGAATTAATTTAACTTCAGCTTTTATTTCACCAGAATTGGATGGATGGGACTATCTTTAACATTACTTAAGGTCTTGTTATGAAACACATTTCAAGAAAGCTGCATGGGAAAAATTAGTTTTAATATGATCAGTATTTCTGCTGCAATGACTACTGAAGTCAAACATCTTCTCCCTATTACACTACCTCGAAAATATCGAAAGCTACAAAATTGCTTCTCTTTTGATCATGTGTGTTGTAATGACAAAGCTTTGTCTAAGTGAAGCCAAAACTAGTAATTTCTAAACAATTTCCTGGCAGGCATAACCTTAGCTTTCAGTAAATCAGATTTGAAATCAATTTTTTTTCAAGTTCATGAAAGCAAAAGTGGTGAAATTTGACTTGCTCCTAAAATGGATGCTGACATGCAAAACTTGAAGCTATGAGCTAGTACACAGACTGTCTGTTCTGCATTGTGCAAAATTTCAGACAAGATGCTTAGTCATACTCCAGATATTGTAAGCAGCTAAATCTGAAACACGTGCTTAAAATTCCAGGGACTTTCATTTTACTGCTGCGATTAGATATAAAAGATGCATTGTTTTAGCGTGCTTAGGTTTACTTGAAACCTTGTCATTAAAATATTCTCTAGTTACAAAATACTCTTCAGTTACAACAAAATATATTTTATATTAATAGCAGCAACAAACAGATAATAATAGTAATAGTAATAATAACAGTTTTCTTAATCCTGTGCATTCTGCAAGCAAATATGATGGAGTTTTAAGTAAATGTTAGATTTTCTGTGGTGAAAAGTCACAGAGACTGATATAATCAAATAAAAGTTTCATCGTTGTTAGCAAAAAAAAGAAAAAAAAGAGAGAAGTTGCTCAGAAATTACAGAAATTCCAATTAATGGTGAAAAAACATCAGAAGACAGTAGAGAACTAAAAGGTTGATATACCACAAGGTCTCTTCCTCCCATTTTCAGTCCATAAGGAATATTTCTTGGACCTTATTGTTAATAATGTAACTGTTTCAGCTGAAGTCACATCCACAGAGAAAAAATATCTTACACCCATCAACTTAAATAGCAGCACACAATTACTCTATTTAAATTCAGTTGGCATGTGCATTGTTCTCTGGCACTTGATCAGAAAAATGGGTTTCCTTTGAGTTTATCACTATCTATGGCTTCCATCTGTTTTTGTTCAAACATAAAATTTAGCAGAATTTTCACTGCAAGAACATGACTGTTTAACTGTTAAAAAAAAATAAATCTCTTAACTGTAGACTGGCACCATACTCTCATATCCCTAGAAAGCACAGATGGAAACTACTGAGATTTTTCAAGGTATCTACGTATGAACCAAATTAACTTTTAAGTCTTAAAGTTTTGCATACCAGTCTATTGTAAGATAATGAAATACGAAGAGATGAATAAAAATAAAAATTGGTATTTTCTGTGTTCACTGTGCCTCTAAAATCTCTTCTGCATTACAGAGCCAAAATTAAAACTGAGATGGCAGGGGGAACCGAGCAACCAATTCCATTTGTTGTGTCAGCATGTACAGAAAGAAGAAACAGACTGGTTTTCATCTTCAGGAATGTGAGAGGTGCCAATGGCAGTATAGTGCTGTAGAAGATCCGCATACTCTAGCTTTATGCCTAACAGTAGCTTTCAGACAAGTAAAGAAGTATTAACTACTTAAGTACAGCAAATAGGAGCAAGAATGCCCTGTAACAGGAGTGATAGACAAGTGGTATAAGATAGACAAAGTGGTCACCTCATCTTTGAGGAGATATGCATGCTTTTAGCACACAGCAGTTACCACTTGGCAAGCTGTTTACAGATTTTAAACCTTTTGTGTTACTTAATGATGTTTTGAAAATATGTAGAATAGGCAGAAATTGAATCTAATAAAGGACTTTAACAAAATTGCTAAAATTGAATTAATTCTCTTAAGGCAGTAAAAAAGAAAACACCAGATTTAAAAACACCAAAGAAAATTTAATTTCAGCTTCCACTTACTTTAAAGTTGAGGAAAATTAACAGTTGAAGCAAATGCTACATACTTAGAGATGCTTTGTAGAGATTTTCAGCTTGGAAAAAAACTTCCAGCTTTTGGCTAACTATTTTAAATCTTAAAATACCATTAAGTGCTGTCTGAATGCTCCAGGTCTTCCAACTGATCGCAGAGGTCTTATGAGAATGATAAGCAGACTAGCAAGAGAGAACAACAGGCCCCTTTGTGCTAATGTAACGTATAGTAAGTATAAGAGCTGCTAGAAATGGAGAATGGATGGGAGTAAATAATGCTGCAAAAAAATTTGATTGTTTTATTTTTTCAATTGCTTCAATACAGAGATTTAATTTCTATGAAGCAAGCCTGAAGTCTTGGACAATTTTAAAATTAGATTGTGTTAGTCTAATTAGAACACCACAAATGAAGTAACAGCTGATCAGTCCAAGTGAAACAGTCTGGGTTCCATGCCCTGATGCTCAATAGTAAATGCTACCTGAGAAAGTATGGAAGATGAGTCACAAGAGTGAATTAATGTACAGTGAAAAAAGGAGTTAAAATGGAAGCCCACACATGCTAGCTGTATGCTCACTGCTGTGGCAAATGATTTAATAGAGCCCAAGCTGTATGAGGAACCAGCATTCTAAAGCATTTCTGGACTTCTTTAGACTGGATGCCTAAGTATCCTCCATAGATTTGAAAAATACACTTAAAAAGTCAAAACCTGATTTTATCAATGGACTTAGTTTTCTTTTCAGCTTCCACAGCAGAGAAAGGGAATATTATCTAGCAACACTGGGAATGGTTTAAGTAACTGTGAAACAATGTTTTCAGTAAAAGATAGCTTAAGACTTTTCATTTGAGTGAGAAAACAGTTCATTTGCCGTTTTAATACGAACCTTGAATCTAAATTAACAATCACTATTAATTCAAATATGCAGAATGGCTGACCCTTTTTTCTTTATTTAGCATAATAACATACCTTTAAGTGGATCATGCTCTGCTCTCATAATGTCAATAAGGGAGTTTTCCAAAGAGTGCATATTCAGACTGTCATACATTCTATTTCGATCCTAAAAGAAAACAAAAGCCTTAGTATTGGAATACAGTTTCTGTAGTTTTTCACAAAAAACTTGAAAGGAAAACACAGGTTCCTTCTAACAGCTGCCCACTCGCTCTGGAGATGGACAATGATACAAGGTAAGGTGTGATTTTATTAACTAATTTTAACAGCATCCAAATACTAGAGACTCAGTGTGAAGAACTCTGTGTGATGCAGTGTGAACAAGTACTGTGTATGCATTTGACAGCCTGTGATTACCTGTTTCCTTCAGAACTGCTTGAATCAGTTCTAGCAAACCACAGCACCGTTATGCATTAGGCTGATTAATGAAGGAGACTAATGTCTGTAAGACTTCAATTTCATTTCATGCACAAGTACAAAAGTGATGAAGGTGGGGAACTACAGGACAAGAATAGTCATATCACATAAAAGAGAGCACTTTCTTGGTCCTTGGTCAAGTGCCTGGCATGGGCCACGAGCCCCTGTGGAGGCTGCGCTTGCTCGCTTTGGGGCCTTTGCATACCAAGACTTGAGATACAAATGGTCAGCACTTAACGGTTAAAGGGTGGAAAATGAAAGCTAAACTATGAAAAGGAAATGCCACATATCTTACTAATAGATTATCAGCCTTACAGAGGACAATTTCCTTTAGACATGTTTATTAAGAAGTTACTGTACAGCCCTTAAAAATATTTTCATTGACAGCAATAAAAGTTATTGCAATGAACTAGTTTTCACTGATTTTGTTTTATCCAAGCCATCTTCTCCCATGTTTTCCAATATACCCAAGTTACAGACACAGAAAAAATATGACTTTTAAATTCTTTGGTCTTTCTGGGATACCTTTCAGAAACTGAAAACAGTGTAAAACTATAATCTCCTACTTTCAAGGCTTCTAGCTAGACTGCACTGCACTTAAATCCTATAACAGTGTCTTAATTTTACTGCTGTCTTCGGTTTTCACTATAGTAATTCAGCAGAGTAGGATGAAATGCATCATATACATCCCATGACTGGTAAAATTCCCTAAAGGTGCAGCCATCCACTTAGTATGCATATAATAGGGACAGAAGATATATGATCCATACACACTGACTTTCTGTGACCATTCAGCAGAACCATAGATTCATTTCAAACTACGCCCCTCAGCAAATGGTATTATTCTTCACATTGGAGGAGTAAAAAAGCAAGCTTTAGAACAGATTTTTCTATGAATTGCACACTATGACTTATGATCAGCTTTGCCAGGTTGAAACCAGGGTTTTACTTTCATCTCTTAAAAAGTTGTATCTTAAAAAGTCAATGTCAGGATGAAGAGGGAGAAGCCTTTATTCCCACCTCTATCTCAAACAACTATTAAGAGTAATGGGTTCTTGTTGGGTAAACAATCGGCTAAAAAATAAAGAATCTGATTAAATTAGTATTTCTGGAAGCCCTTGGACAATTTTACTGATAAATTTAAAAAGTAGGTTTCTCTTGTCTCCTGCCAGACCAAATGCCACTGACACTTCGTGAGGCAATCTTCAACCTGGTTTGAGTGCCAACAAGTCACCAGCACTATTTTAGTTCACAGTAACCTTTATTTTGGGACTGGCTGGCTTTTATTCAGTTTAGTTGCCCTGAGAACCACCAAATGAAACTGAAGTGACCAATCTGCCTCTATGCCCTTACATGTTTGTTTCTCAATAGCACAATGAAAATAACCTGCTTAGCACAGCAAAGTTGCTTTCTATAGAAGGTGTGAGCAGTGACCAAGCTGGATCTGTTCCCTACTGTCCCCTAGCATTCAAAAAGTATCTCATCAGGACTGTTAATGAAGTCTTAAATTCTGTTTACGGCACAAGTTGGTAGGTAGTCAGTGCTCTTGCAAAAACCAACGCTGAGTAAAGACAAAACATACTTTGCTATCTTTGTAGCTGATAAGGCAAAAAAACTAGTATTGGTAAAAACCAGACTGAATTGTATATGGTGTTTTATCTTTGTAACAGGCTCATTACATATTTTCTTTTTTCCTTTTTTTGAACACTGCCACATACATATGTGTTGAAGTAACACATGGCTGTCTGGGAAATGGTCATTATTACAGACTTAATGATGCTCTGTGGAGCAGGAGTCTGTAAGAAAAGGCTCAGCCATGGTTAATTCCTAAAACTGGGCTACTTGGTCCTAGATCTTACAGAGAAATGGAGAAGAAAATCATGGAACATATGCTTGCAATTTATTTGTAAACTGCTCTACTGGGTGACATCTAATTTCACCCTTGCATCATTCTATTCTGAAAGTTCTGTGTATCTAAAGTGAAAGGTCTTCCTCTGCTAAAAGCAGAAAGAATAATAAGCTTTTCCCATCCTTTTTAGAAAGTTTGTGGTTTGTTTCCTTGAATTGTATTACTTAATTTTGGGCAGTAGAAACATACAATGGGCCAACACTGCACAATATCAAAACGTTGTGAATACACTGAAGTACAGCAGGATTTAAACACAGGATTGCATTCTGCTATCCCACTACCCCCACTTCACACTACCCACTCATGAGTTTGGGTAGTATCTTGGTAATCAGTGCTTCAAAATTTAATCTCTATTCCAAATGACTCTGATGAATTGCATGCTATAAAGCAACATTATCTGAAATTTAACTGTCTCTAAAGGAGTAAGTAATTCTTTGGGTACAAGGTTCATTTTAAACCTTTCTGCAGCTTGGCTTTATAATGCTACAACATGGCTTTGAGTTCCCAAAATATGTATATCATATCTTTCAAGAGAACAGTTATCATCTATGCTAAAAGGGAGCTTTAATTTCAAAGCAGAACCCAGAAGTATTTCAGTAATGTAGGTCACACACCAGGCAGTATTTTCTAGAAAGGTCTGCTGAAACAATTTTACTACAGCAGGAACTACTAAATCAGAAAACGTCTATTATGGTTTTGGTCAATTTTTGGGACAAGCATAAAAAAGCACTACCACAGAAAACAATTAATGTTCCAGATCTCCATTCATGTGGAAACAGTCCCAAGAATTAGGATTAGCTTTAGTTTCATTATTTCAACACAACTGATAAGCAGTTATTTTCTAAAACAACCTGGACCTACTTTTAAAACAATATGGAAGTAGTCCCAAAAATTAGAACTATTTCCATGTTGTCTTAAAGATAGTACCAGATTGTTTTGGAAGATAACTACTTATCAACCATGTTGAAATAATGAAGCTAAAGATAATCAGTAGTGCAAAGGCACTGATACCTAAGCATGTATGTTAATACACATTTTCTATCATCCTGACTCGCGAATCGTCAAGGTTGAATTCCTGTTAAATATTTTTAATTTTCTTCAGCTCTGTGGTTCATCAGTCCTGTGCTAAGAAGCAAGTGAACTCTTGTTGTGTCAAAAGGTCTGTACCTCAGTGGAATGCCACAACATAATGCTGGCTTTTTCCCCTCAGAGCTGATAGTTAACTTGTCCCAAGCATTACAAATTCTCAGATTAGTTTTTTAACTGTCTAAATGTTTGAATCCTGCTTGACCTACCTTTCCCGTATCAGAATCACTACTACAGACTGAGTGATATGGTTAAGTAAAAAACTGTCTATGTAAGGAAGTTTACAGAAAAGTGGTAGTTATTTTAGGAATAGGAGAAGCACAAAGTATCCTTCCCACACAATTCAAGTGCTGGAAGGAGCTTTTGACAATGTCATGCGAAGTACAGCTTAAGAGTATGCATTTGAGTAGTCCCCAAGCCATGCATCTGAATATGCATGCATGAATGAGAGGAGGGCAGCTTTCTCTGAAGAGCAAGTTTCAGTACTAAACCCATGAACAAATAGTTTTTCTTGGCACATTCTATTTAGGACTTCTATATATACCTGTGCAATTTATGCAAAGATTATCCTGTTTGAGCATTTGCAGAAACAGCAGTCACATCTCTAAGCTTATATATTGTCTCTTATGCATAAACCAAATACAAGGACCGAAGCTATTGAGTGGTGAATAGTTTTGCTGATTTTTAACCACAAACACTATTTCATAGTTAAGAAGTCATGACACCTTTGAATTTTGGACACATGCTTTAAACTACTGATTTGTGGGACTACTTGAAGCAAAAAACTAGAAGCTAACAGAGGTATTAAAATCTGTAGTATCTTTAAGAAATGTCTCTTCATACTGTAAAGAAATATAGCACCATGGGACAGGAGCTGAAGACGAAAATCATAAAGCTTATACTCATTTCAAGTATAGTCTTACTTGGCTGCAAAAAGGACTCTAACTTTAACCTTGATGAATTAACTGAGTTTGTTAAATGCTAAATTAAAAACACTTTTTAAAACCGCTTCCCCAATTAAAATGTTAGGAAGTTCCATTTTTTCACTTTAAACCTGACCCATGTACAAAAATGCACTTTATGACTAGAAAGTGACAGCTGATTTAGTAATCAAGTATACACACTTTAAAAAGTACCTCAATATAGTATTCAGTGTTAATGTTACCAGTAGTAACAATTCCTATGTACATATTCTAAAATATCTCTGCCAACATCTAAATTTCAAATCATTCTCATTTTATTGTGGATATACTATAATCATAAGCCCCTTGTAGAAACCATAACTAGTGTAAATGAGAAACTTAATATGAAAACCTATTGAAACTACAATTTTAGCTGTATAAAAAAGCAAGGAGGAAGGCTTAAAGTCAACACATAAAATTGCTTTGTTACTTTGCACAGTGTCATTAGTGGTAAAGATGAACTAAAGATGTCTGGTAGACATCTGTGAATGGCCAACTTGACAACAAAGTGTTTATAAAGTTAGAATGACACAATCAGCTACGTAAACTAAATAAATTGAGCCTAAAATGCATCAAGAACAGGTCCTGTGGCAAAGACATACCCACTTCCCAGCTACAAAAATATTTAAAAATGAACAAAAAATCCCAGTACTGGAGTACTTCAACTCAAGAATATGTATTCATAGCCTGGAAAAGAAAACCGACACCAGACTATAGAGATGATTAAAGTCTTGG